ATATATATATATATATATATATATATATAAATGAAACAAAAAGTACTCGTATGAATTCAATTTTGTCGTAAGTGTCAGAAACGTAAATATTATACTACATACTACTAGCACACAAAGGTAAGTATTATATTACAAACTAGTTTGTTTATTTGTAATTAAGAACAATGGGTTATCTGTGCTCTGCCCACCACGGGTATCGAAACCCGGATTCTAGCGTTGTAAGTCCGCAGACATACCGCTGTGCCACTGGGGACTTTTCATATTATTAGCGCAGAAATGCATACATTCTACTAAATACTACTACATCAGAAATATAAGTATTGTACTATATACTATTGGCTCAGAAAGGTAAATAATTACTACATACTACTACCTCAGAAATATAAGTATTGTACTATATACTATTGGCTCAGAAAGGTAAATAATTACTACATACTACTACCTCAGAAATGTAAGTGTTATATTACATACTACTACCTCAGAAATGTAAGTATTGTACTACATACTACTGCCTCAGAAATGTACGTATTGTACTACATACTACTGACTCAGAAAGGCAAATATTGTATTACATACTACTGGCTCAGAAAGGCATATATTATACTACACACTACTGCCTCAGAAATGTACGTATTGTACTACATACTACTGGCTCAGAAAGGCAAATATTGTACTACATACTACTACCTCAGAAATGTAAGTATTGTATTGCATACTACTGGCTCAGAAATATAAATATTACACTAAGTACATTTAGCTCAGGAAGGTAAATTTTATATTGCTTACTTATTTATAAAGGATGCGATTTTAACGGATTCGATGTGAGTTTGAAGGATAACCTGGAACTGTAAACTTTTGTACAGACACAAAACTTATAGGCTATTATGTTATGATGGGAGCTTAGTATTCAAACTTTAGTTGCTAATTTTATCTATAGATTATTTACTTATTAAGTTTTTTTCTTGCTATGTTTTATTTTAATAGTTCTTAGTTTTGATTTCCCGAAGATATAGTGGTATGTTAGTTTATTAACATACTTCGAACACAAAAATACCTTTCAATATTAATAACAATATGAAGTGATAAACAGCAATAATTCACTAACTGTATCGTTCACGAACTATCTCGTAACTCTCTCTCCTAGTGAAGCTTATGACAGGGTATTTAATCACTGAGTAGATCACGAGAGTACACCTCATGTGATCATAAATTTACATAATCTTCTGCTATATTGCGGATCTGTACGTTACAAGCTAGGGAAATAGTGTTAGTTTCATCATATATACATATTTACTCAAAATACAATTGATTAGCTAGAAGGTTAGTCATCATTCTAATGCAACTAAAAATTCATTGATAAACTAAACGATAGAAGGAAATAATAATTGAACGATAAACACAACCATAATAATAAAAAAAATAGAATTTGCTATCTCTCACTCCTTTTCTCTTGAAAAACGAAGTGATGACACTAATCACTTTGTATAAAATATCCCAATTTTCGTATCCTTACTTTTAACTCCCTCTTTATACTGACATCATGAATCCTTTACAGTGTAAGTACAGATACATTACAAGAAAAATACGATTAACGTTTTTGAATCTTCAGCTTGACCTTCTATACCTTCTGGCTATGATTCGGCTTACCAGTTTAACACTTTGAAGACCAGCTAACTACGATAATTAATGCGACGTGGTCGCAATGTCCTTTGAAGGTGAGATAGAGGTAAATCATCAGCAGGATCCATTCAAGGATAAGAAGTGGACACATCAGCAGAAGCCCTTTTTCTTGTGGAGGAACGACCTTCAAGTCTTTGTAGTCGACATTTTCGTTTTGCTGCAACTGCCTAGGACGATTATTATCTTCTTCACCATTATCAGATACACGAGTCTTTGGAATACCCTATCTACACAAGTATTCATTAATTAGTTTTTTGACAATCACCTTCACGGTTATTTGTTTGAGAGGACATAATTCAACCCATTTATTGAAATAATCTATCACAACCAACAAATAACTATTTCCTGCCCTAGACTTAGGATAAGGTCCCATGATGTTTACTCCTATTTCCTCACCAGGTTCCATTAGTTTAGTGCTTTGCATAAATCCAGCTGGCATGATAACACATAATTTTTAATGTCCTTTCTCATACCAGGCCAATAACCATGTCTGGATACTTTATCTATTATTATAGTATAGCATCGCACAGGTCTATAACAGAGTTCAATTTTAATCACTTCACAATTAAAAGTTTCTTGTTTATTATTCCGGCGATGCTTGTATTGTTTTGTAAATTTAAGCACATCAGCAATAGATATAACAAAGTGGCATTCCAAGTATTATCGCAAAGAAACGTGCAATTGTAATATTATGCACTTCACAATTTCTTTTCTTCAGGGTTCCATAACTTATAAGTGTTCACAGTTTTCCAAATAAACTTCTCAACTGACTCTCCTACATTAGCGTGGTACTTTCTACTTAACCAGTTCATAAGCCAATTCGACATTATCTAACCTGAGTCAAGAGATAGTTAGCGAACAATACAGTTAGCACATTATTGCTATTTATCAGTCGATATTGTTTTTAGTATTGAAATATATTTTTGTTTTGCTTGTTTTTTTTTTTTTTGGAATTAGGTTTTTTCTTTCTGGTTCTTCTTCCTGATTCTATTATTTGAAATAATATTGATATTTGTGATATATTGTTCATTAACATTAGTGTCAAGTCCTGGCCAGGCTCGTATATATTAACTGTGTTTTTGTAAGTGTTGAGTTTATTTCTAAGTGTTATTATAATTGAATAAATTGCTTTTTTTTCTTAAACCATGATTGTAGCAGCGTGTTTCTTTTTTATCGTTACCAGTATTTGGTG